ATATATATATATATATATATATATATATATATATATATATATATATATATATATATCATCACATGATCTCGAGGCATGGTGAATGTACTAATGAATCAGAGAATGCATATTGGCACACCAGCCAATATGGATACAGGCAAAAATACTGACAAATATAGCCAACAGTATGTATTAGAAGTTTCTTTTAGCTCCTAGCTGCCACCACCGTGCATCACAGTGGGGGTGATGTGTTTGAGTTGATGTGCAGTTGCATTTTCCTCCCCGTTTAGTGTTTTAAATGGCCACAGGGGCTTCCTCCTGATGCTGCTGCATCATCCTCATGGCTTGTGCAGAAATTTTTATGTGTTTTGAATACTGTTCAGGACTATTAGAGGAGAGGTCCGAGATGGTTTTCAGTCATTAAGATGGGATCCCTGAGGTATATGTAGAACCAAAACTGATTGTAAAATACATGTATGCTATTGTGCCGAGAAATAATTCATGTATATTTATTTATCTAATACATGATTCTAATATTAAATATTTCATTAAATTGCAAAATTAACCATTTCATAATTCTAAAATAATGAATTTGAGATTATCAGTTAAGAATTTAAATGTCATTATGCTCCAACATGAAAATGATTACTTCACTTTATATTTATGAATACTGTAAAATAATTATAATATAAATGCATACACAAATATGTTTTCTTTATGTATTTTAAGGGATGGCCAGTCTGTTCCCGTGTTATTTTAGAGTCAGGCTCAGATGTTTGGGAACACTCCCACATATGAGAACACAACACGTCTCTTTTCAAAAATCTGTACAGTTCTCCCTCCATGTTTGTGTTGGTCTGGCACATAAAATCCCCTTAAAAAAAAATCTTAAGTTTGTGTTTTTAATTTAAGGAAATGTGGAAAAAGCTCAAAGGATTGTGAATATTTTATGAGTGTTAAAACAATCTCCATTGTACTCCCTGCAGCTTTTTTCCCTTTGCTGCTCTTTGTCCGTACTGAACAGTTTGTCACATCAGGCTCACTCTAATGTTTTGTGGTTCTTTAGACTTCAGGACGAGGTACCGGAACTCCATCGCAGAGAGACCAGGACCTTTCAAAAGAAAACCTTAAGTTGGCGTCAGAGAACTTGGAGCTGCGCCTTCAGCTGGAACAGGCCAGCAAAGACCTTCCAAGGCTGAAGGTACAACCCAAACTCTAATGTAGCTCATGCCAAGACATACTGATCTTAGAACTGGTTTCAGCATGCTAATCTTGATTATGTGAAGTTGTAGAATCAGAACATATTTAGAGAAGATAACAGTCTAATTCATTGGCAATGACAGTTAGTCTTTGTAAAGAAACCAAGCTGCATTTCAGAAGGAAAGTTTTGCTCCTTTTGGCAAAGGAGTTAAATTGAAGAAGCCCTTTGTGAAAACTGTGTCAGTTCTTTGATCTTCAGCAACCATCTATTAATGTCAATTGGAAAAACAGTCATGGGAAAAGAACAAACACCTTTTGATTCTGGGGTTTTACATACTGGGATATTGTAGAGTCGTTGTTGGGGGAATCAGACAGGATGTAAATCAGCAGTCATTAAAAGGGTCACATGGTAAGAAAGGTTTCAGCAGCTTTTCAAAGCTCTAAATGTTTTTATCTTTTCATTTTCAAAACATTTTTAATAGGGCAGAAGCAGTTGTGAAAAAAGCTGCTACTACACCACTTTTTAGTTAGCTACTAACAAACAGGGATAACTTTATAAGCTAACTCTGATCCATTATTCAATGAAAAAACGGAAAAAGAAAAATATATGGAGAAAAAACTAAGTGCACCCTATGATTTAAAAGCTTGTTTAACCATTTTTATCGACTGAATTTTATTCAATTATTGTTGCCAAGCCGTTTGTCGTTTTGGAAATGAGAAAAAAGACAATCAAGAATAACACTATGATACATTTCTTTTTAGTGAAAGATAGGCTTTAAGGGTACCTTTGCTGTTTTCTGAGATTACATTTTTCAACTGATTTTTATGACCTTTTTTTGTATATTTTTTATATATCTTATTTTTTCTACACTTATTTTGTTATATTTTATAGTTTTATACTTTTTTGTTAATTAAATTTTACAAGGAACCAATAAGCAGATAAGGAAAAACAATGAGATTAAAGGTAGTAGACAAGGTCAATACAGGTTCACAAATCTGATCATTTGTAATGACAAAGGACGAGTAACAGAGATGCGTTCAATTATGCATCACGGTCGGTAAGACCCACTGTAACCACAGGAAATGAAATCAGTTATAGAATAAGACATCTGCACAGGACAGAACAAATACTTCCATATAGGACCTCTAGGGATTTCCAGTACTGCTCAAATTTAACACAAGCATATGTCAGGGTGAAGGCCCTATGACCCCTTTCTATTGGAAAATTAAAGTTCATATTTTATGATTTATTTTATTTCTAAAAAAAAAAAATTATACATTTTTTGGGAGGTGGGGAGCAAAAACGCATTTCTATTTGTTTCTAGTGACATTTTTGCAACATTTTTATTGATCAAAGGTGAGTTTGTGTTGAACTTCCAGTGAAGAGAATGTGATCTGTGGAGCGCAGTTTAAAATGAATGCCACATGTTAAACTAATCCTGAAAAAGAGTAATAAAAGCAAAACAAAAACTTGTATGTGAAAAAAAAAATCAAGAAATCACAGAAAACAGCAAAGTTACTCTCAAAACTTTTTAAATTAATTTTTATTTGCTGGTTAATTTGGTGATCTGCAAATGTTGATGTCCTTTATATAAGATAATGGAGATGTTTTTTTGTCATTTTATATGTAAAACATCTAATTCTATTGGCGGTTTGCCTTCCTTACATGCTCAACAGAAAGGAAAATGCAATTCATTTAAAAAATACTGACTTTACCTATATCACAGTTTTTGCAGCGTCTCAATTTATTACATCGCCACAAAGGAATCGGGACTCTTCTTTATAACATTTGTTTGCACACCAGCGGACTCAGACAGGACCCCTGCAAGACATTTTAGTCCTTCTGTTGTCGATTTGCTTCTTTGTTTTGAGGCTTTGCTCTGTTTCATGAGCCAAACTTCAGCTGTCTGACAGATGGAGGTTGTTGATGTGCAGTCCTGTTTCTTCTCTGGTTCCTTTAGAGGCTTTAGTTGTGCTGCTTGATTTTAATTTGAAATATGAACGCTTTCTCCTGGCACCCCTACCAAACAAGCCTCGCTTGTTTAGTCCTTATCCCGTTCTGAACTTCATTTTTATAACATGCGGTTTGAGGCCTGTAAACTCTAAGATGCATTGCATTTGAAGTGAATTTGCTTGAATATTCTCTCAGGGAGAATATTGTTAAATAAGTGATTTCCTGTTGTGAGTAATATTTCTCACTCCAGCATAATGAGCTTCACAGACTTTGAAGTTATAAAGACTTTATTGTCACTATGAAACTATTTTTGCTGAGACGTCGGCTCAAAATGCACATATAGAACAGAGACTAACATTTAAAAAAAACAAGCATCCTTAGCAGAATATTTGTACAGTTAGAAAAATTATACAAAATATCACAGATTTTATCTGGGGTACCCAAACATTTCAGCCTTTTACCCCCAAAGTAGTGCAATAGTCTGATGAAGCGCTGAAAGTACATATAGAATAGAGTAGAACGTTATTGATCCCACAATGGAGAAATTCACTTTTGACATCGACTGTTATAAACAAACAGAAGGTGCACAAAGGAGGAAAAGGTGCATGAAGTATATATAGTGCATCCAGATATATAGTGGATGGTAAAAAAAAAAAGAGAGATTTAAGGTGACATATATAAAAATGTAATAGTTTTTTGTATGTACGGTATTTATATTATTATTACCTTTCTTTATTCAGAATATAATGGGAAATAATCATTTTAATTTCTCAATTAATATATATTTTGGGAATTACATTTAATTATGTATCATTTTATATGTATTTTTTATTATGAAATATTAAATTTGTATTCGATAAATTAAATAACATACGTGCACTTTTTATAGCACATACATATTTATGTGTTTTACGATATACTCAGGAATCACATTTTAATGACTTTGAAAACCATCTCAGAATCCCCCACTTAGTGTCTTGTGACTCTCCAGGGGGCTCTGACCCCCACTGTGGGAAACCCTGTAGTATATAATATACCCATAAAGGGATGTTGGAAGTATTTATAAAAGAAAAAAATGTGTAGGCACTCCAACACATTAGCCTGACGTAGTCCTACTCAATTCTAGTCAGAATATGAGTCTGATACTGCTCCATAGAGCTGTGATTATGGGGCGTGTTTGGAACGAACCAGGAAAAAAAATGCCTCTGCACTCAATTGGATAGACCTACAACCAATAAGAGCAACGGAGTGCGTGACGTATGTTAAGCGACCAAGGGAGCCAGCTGATAAATTAAACTTTTGTAGAATCCCATAGGAACGACGGCAAAAACATCTTTCTTTTCAACAAATGCCTTGATCGCGTTTCTCTGTTCCTCTTTTAAAATTAATTTGCTGTCGATATCTTCTAGAACAGACCTAATAGCAGAATCTACACACCTCAACTCTCCAGCGGCAGCCATTGTTGTTGTCACCCAAGCGCGCTTTGGTCACGTGGTTGATTACGTTACTGTTGATCATCTGTCCATCATCGTATAAAGCCCGCCCTGACAATTTGATTGGCCCGCCAAATATTGTGCGAGCATACTCCCGCTACTATTGAGCAATGCCAGACCGAACTTCCCGACCTCAAACCTTGTGGGCGGGACTAAGTTCGGAATGGCACCCAGGCTACCAACACATCCCCCTGTATATAGAAAGGAGCACATTCAGTCCTCCTGGACCTCGTCTAGAGCAGTGTTTCCCAACCTTATTTTAATTGTGCACCCCCTTACCATGAGTCTACTTCTCAGTCAAAAGTATTGATGATTGTCCAAAAGTGGAATGTACAATAACTGATTATAAAACAAAAACTATTTTACCCATTCTTTTAATTTGAGCATTTTGTGCTTTGCATCTCAAATAAAAAAACACACAACACAAATATTTTGCCTGGAAGTTAGTTAGGAACTGAAATAAATCCAAAATAAAATAATATTATAAACTTGTATGTATATAACTGGAGTTCAACTGAATAAAGGCTGATTTATCCTCAGAAATCAGGTAGTCTGCATGTGTGCGTCGCAGTGAATGCAATGTGCCTCCGCCCCTGCCGCAGACGCTCTGGTGGACCTCTCCAAAATTGTAGGTGACCACAGAAAGTGCCGCAGACAGGAGGCCTCAGATTGGTCAAATCTACATCCCCTCTACACTATGCATATTTCCTGGTTGGTACCTTACCGGCTTGTTTTGTTTGTATGACCGTCATTGTGGACGATGCGTGACGATGGAGCAGCTAGAAAAGCGAGGTGCACGAAAACACTGGGTACCTTTTTCCACCTAGATCCCCTCTCTTTTTCACCCTCCTGTCCGTTCGTGGTCACACAAATTCGCCCCCATTTCCTCACCCCCTCGGCCGAGACCCACAGCTAGTTCTTGATTATCCCTCTGGCGTTGTGGCGTGGAATAAACATAGCGCAGACCACGCTTCATTATTGGGCACAAATCAAAAACATCTGAGACAAGCTCACTGTGAGACACACTGCCGCCAGAGTATAACTAGCCCTTAACTCCTTTATAATCACATTTAAACTTGAAGAATTGGGAGCAAAATACAGAACAAAAATTATACTCAGACCGACTTAATTTGTTTTATTTTGTTATCATCAGGACACCTGAGCTTGTTTGATGAGCTCCGATAGATCAGTGTGAAAAACAGCAGATCCCAGGCTGTTCTCTACATCCAGTCTGTTCATCCGCTTGGTTTGAATGTGTGTCAAAGCTGAATTTGAACTCAAACAAATAAGAAAAATATACATTTTGGTTGATAAAAGCTTGTTTAATTTTTCAATTGGGTCCTTCAGAAAATAAAACAGATCCCAGCCCTATTTTATTTTACTACCTAAGAAATAAAATATGTTCATGTACCCCTTGCAATGCACTCACGGACTACTAGGAGTGGGAGAACCCCCGGTTGGGAACTGTTGGTCTAGTGCACTAGGACCTTTTGGTTTTGCTGGTGTTCTGGGTTAAAAAAAACTGTGTCCAGACTTCTTCTCTCTAGTGAGTCAAATCATTGTTAGATATGAGTTGTCATCTTTAAATGCTACAAAAACCTTTGTTTTGTTAAGGGGACTGAGAACACAACCCTGCGGTATGCCTGTGTTAAGGATCAGTGGGGCAGATGTGATATTAGAATCCAAAAAAGCCATACTTTCTTTACCTTTACCATGACCGTAAAAGTTTTTCTGTTTCCCTAGAATCAGGTTGCAGACCTAAAGGAGATGTGCACGGCACTGAAACAGGAAAAGGCAGAGGTAGATAAAAAACTGGCACATATACGAGGGGTAAGTAAGCTGTGGTGTGTTGTAATGATGTTACAACCTTTATGTATCTTACGGTAAATTAGAGGTGCTGACATGGAAAATGGCAACTCAGTGGAGGTTCAACATTATATGTTCTTCATCAGACTGGTTATAGTGGGAAAACAGTCCCTGAGCTGGAGAAGACCATTGGGCTGATGAAAAAGGTGGTGGAGAGAGTCCAGAGAGAAAACGAGGCACTGAAGAAATCTAGCATTCATCCAAATCAGAGCAGAGTCGCAGCCCTGGAGAAGGAAAATGAAAAACTGAAGGTGATCATCTTGTTTATTTTCCACTTTACATTTATCTGTGTTTTATTCCTGCAGATGAAGGAGTTTTTTTTTTTTTTTTTTTCCAGGCTGACTACGAGAAGCTGAAGCATCAAAGTGAAGCTGAGCTTGGTGCAAAACTGGAAGCTAAAACCAAAGGACTGGAGAAGATAGCGATGGAAAACGAGCGTCTTCGCAAGGAGATTAAGAGGGTAGCTAGAATGCAAAGTTTGATTTAGTCGCCACTGTTTCCATATAAAATCTACCCTAAATGTTTTTGGATGATATGCTGAAACAGGAAATGGAGGCAGCAGAGAGGCTGAGGGTGACCAAGACGAGTCTGGAGCTAACCAATGAAAAGCTGGAATCAGAGCTGGAAGAAACCAAACAAAGACTGCATACAGCTTTGTCCAAAGCTGTAGCTGTGGGATCTGACACCAAAGCTACAAAGGCCACCGTTATAACCAGGTCAGTCAATCTGAGGGTTACTTAATTATATTGCAAGCTCTGAATAATTTATCACACAAATAAATTAGTCCCAGAAATAATCCCAGGAACATCCTGAAGGCCTGTGGTATTTCTGAAGCAGGATCCTAATCCTTATGAACTGTCTATAGATAACATTGAGGTGGACTTTCCAGCCTAAAAACATTTTAAATTAAAACCTCCAACTCATTTAAGCAAATAAAGCCAAGCTGCTCTCTACATTGCAGAGCAAAGGACCGGAGAGTTGAGCATCCAGAGCTTCGAAGTGCAAAAGCATCTTGACTAGAGTTTGACCCAATATCCAAGTTTCTGCGTTTAAGTGTTTCGACACCCAGAACACGTTTGGACTTGTTGCACTTTAGTCTTTAGATGTACAAAGCTGCTGGAAACAAAACCCAAAGTATAATACTGGAAAAATGTGGTTTGGTAAAGCTTTGACTGCATCTAAACAGAAATGCATCAGCCCATTTTGGGTGCTTTGTTTTGAAAAATAAAAATAAAGAAATTGTATCTTTCACCTTCATCAATTTAGACCATAATCACAGAAAGTTTTGACATTGTTTTCATTTTTATTACCACAAGATGTGGAAATCAAAATGTGTTTTGATGTCCTCCTGCAGGATGTTCGAGAACAAGATGAAGGAGTTGGAGAAGGAGCTCTCCCAGAAGACCTCCAGCGTGTCTGAACTCAAACGGCAGCTCAAAGAGGCGAAGGAACGTGAGGAAAGGGCTCAGACGCGGGTGCTACACCTGGAAGATCAGGTACAGATTGATCAGGCCGAGACTTGGAACAGACAAGGTCATCATTGTATCGGCATCGAGCTTAAAGACTCAGGAGGAACTGCAGTGTTCTTTTAGCTTTACGGTTGGGCTTCAGTTTGAGGTCAAGTTTGAGGATGAACAGCCTGGAGGATGGCAGGACTCATGAGAACATCCGCCTGAAATACTAAAGAGGATTTTCTTTTGATTTATACTGATGAGATATTGAAGAGGCAAATGCTTCTGGCAGATGAGCTTATCAATAGGTCGTCTTTCAGGCGTTTCCTCTATGAACCTTTTTCACAGTTGTTCTCTATGTCCTTTTTAAATCTTTGGATTCACTGTTTCAAAGCAAAATGAGGCGATTCTTTTCATTTACATAACAAACAGCTGCAGGATTTTTTTAAATACAAGAACTGGCCACAGCAATAATTAAATTTGAGTACACATATCTTCCTTTGATCTACACAAAGGCAGTTATTACATACAGGCTTAAATTCACAAATCCATTGAAAGCAGTCTATTAAGTGGAGCTAAAGGCTACAGAAAGTTTTTAAAGACTTGGTGAAACCAAGGCCTGCTGTCTTCCTGTTAGTGACCATGATTGATTGCAGCGGGTCTTTTCTCTTTCCCAGCATAACAAGATTTGTTGGATTGGATTTATTAGATTGACCAATAATCAGTTCACTGGGGAAGTCCAAAGAATTTATAGAAGATCTGAAGGGGGGTAGTTTAGATCTAAACCATTTGGGAAAGTGTTTTGCTGTCCTTTCTGAAATAGCAGAACTGGAACAAGCCGGCGAGCGCTGAGGCTCTATCCTGCTATGAACTGGAAAAAACAAACTGCTCATAAGTCAGTGTTACATCATTGACTTGGTGGGTTCAGATTAGCTCGACCAAGAACTGGATGACTGAGAATCTTCACATATAGGGTTCAGATTAATGCGAGACGGCCCGTTAAGACGGGTCACGTTTAAGGGGCCAGGTAGACTATTGTGCCTATTAAAAATCAGAAAGTGTGTTAGAGTTACCGGGTAATTTTATGAATTACTAAATTAATTGAATCAATTGATTGCATTTTAATCGAAAATCAAAATAAACAACCTTTTCATATCCAAATTTATTGAGCAAACTGAGCACAAATAGTTGATTTATTGTTTTTAATTATTTTATTAGTTTCAACTATCAGATTGGTTGAAATTATAATCATTTGTTTTATTTTTCCAGAAAGCCCTTATATATTATGCAAGTTTAAAAAGCTGCCTTTATAGAAGTGTGAACAGTACATTGACATTAAATATAGTCCAATTCCTTCCATTAAATACGGTCCAAATGATATGGCAACGAGGCATAAAATTTTACCTTTACATGTTTAATGTTGGCTGCAAAGGGAAGATAAAGTTCCATATGTAATACAGATAAGGGCAGTAGATCTGTGCATAAACGCTTGCCTTTCAGAGCTTGAGATATGCTATTCAACATGCAGCATTTGGTGTAATGAGCACAAAGATAACGTTGAGGCAAATATTTACCCTTAAGCCAGTTAATAGGACCAACAATCCATGTTTCACCTCATTTTACCAGGGACTTAGTTGTGTACTATGTGACTCTATAACTCGTCAGCTGGTCTGAAGTGAGTGTGCTGCAACTCTGGACGCTGACATTGGGGTTGTGAACGTTTGTGCTGCAGTAACAGGAGTCCTGGCTCATTACTTTCTGACTGCCAGTAGCAGTAAACAGTGGGTAGAACTCCTTGCTCTCTATTTTATTCTCCTGGGATCCCCTAAATGAGGGGTTCAGAGTGACCGGTGTGACTGGTGGTCATCCAGGAACTCATAGAACCATAGTTACAGAGTAACTTCTGTTGGATTGAGATGGTTTTTAAGCTTGAATACCCCCAGTGGACCAATGTTTGTGATGCTGTTTGTGTGTCAGATTTACAAGTGTACAATAAACAGCAAACACAGAGGTTCCTGTTGGGACTTTTGTATAAATAACAACTAAAGTTGCAGTTAAGTTCTTTTTTTCTTTTCTTTTTTTTTTCTATTCCATGAAATTCTATGTGATCCATAACCAAAATTAATGCTTTAGACTTAATTTTTTTGTATTTTTGGATTCACATTTGGTGCAAATGCAAATTTAAAAAATGCTAAATTCAGCCCTCAACATAGGGCGTTTCAATGCGGAGCAAGGTAAGGTCACTATTCTAGTGAGGCGAATTCAAAATAAACAGGAGTTTAAAAAATCTGAACTTTTGTTTACATTGCGTCGGAAAACCAGTCAGGGATTAGATGTGGATGTGACCTACTAACCTGACTCCGCCAGATGGATTTGCTCCGCATATCCATCTGGAAACCTTCGGTTGAAGTAATTTTGGGAAGGGGCGAAAATACTGGTTAGCTGATTGGCCTATGTTGGTGATAGACGGGCCAAATAAACCAATCAGATCAACGAAGCATATGACGTACTAACAGCCAGGCTACTCTTGCCGAAACCAGTCGGGAGAAGAGCAAAAACATCTTTTCCTCTGAGAAAAGCCTCCAGAGCAGTGTTTTGCTCTTCTTTCAGTGAAGAAATACTCTGTAATTCCGATAAAACTTGCTCGATAGCCACGCTAACGCTAGTTTCATCGGCTGAAGCCGCCATGTTCTTTAGACTGAACTGTCGCACTTCTCGTTGCGTCACACCTCTACCCTCCTCAAAGCCAATGCTGATTGGACGTGCGTTTGGTGAACGGCTCCAATTTTCTTAAACGGAGAGTCTCCAGACTGATTAGCGAGTGAAATCTTGAAAGCTCGCGAGATCAGGATGGTCTCACGAGGCTAGTGACCTACATTGAAGAAAGTCGTGGGGACAAGCTTTTTTCTTTATTAAAATGGAAGCTAGAGAAAATAATGTTGACAAATAATGAGTAGGAAATGCTCTTGGGAAGTTTATAGTGGGCTTTTAAAAATGCCATATGGATGTAGCCCTCTCCCCCTTCTCTCCTTCCCGGCTGTCTTCCATGATGTACCGCCGTCATCCTTTCATATCTGTAGGCCCGGTAGGCTTCTCCGATCTACCGCTGTGGTTGCTTCGTTCCGGGAGGGGCACAGCCAAACACATCATCCTGGTTCTGGTGCTCTCTCTCTCTCTCTCTGTTGGGTTCTTGCTCTGAGTTTCCATTGCTTCTGTCTGAGCTTCAAAACACTGCCTCACTTTACCTTATGCTCAGCGAAAAGCGACTGTTATCCAGCTGCTGCTGGACTTCCTGATCTGGCAGCGTCTCTGTAGGTTCTAACTGACCCAGGGACCCCAGCGGCTTTTCTCAGCTTTCCAAAGTAAATGCAGTACCGTGACTCCCTCTGTAAAATCTGTTTACACCATGCTAAGGTGAAACCAACAACCAGCAGACTGGATAAGGTGGTGGCGCCTTTCACCTGCCATGTGAAATCTCCCGCTGTGTGAATTGCATATATTGGCCAGGCAAACTGCTGGTGATTTCACGATTGGTGTAAATGCACTATTTATGTTCCAACCCTTGTTTAAATAAATAATCCTTCATACTGGTATTGTTTTTTTTTTTTGTTTTTTTTTGCCTAAATATAAATTTTTTCTCCATTCATGATCATCAGACATGAACATTGTTGTACACCATCGCCATCTACTGCCTCTATTTACTCATGCATCCATCAACTAAGCAGCCAACTTTTTATTACAAGTCCTTCTCCTGCTCCATCCCTCTTGGCATCCAATCACTTTTTGTCTGTTTTTCACACTTGACTTTGAACTTTTCCTCTTTTATTCCCCCTCCTGGCTCCATCACTTCTTTTTTTACTTATTGCACACATACATTGCATCGTACCTCGGTCATGTGGTCTTGTAGTAAATATCACTTATATTTGCTAACAAATTGTGCATAAACAACATTAAAACACAGAAATAAAATAAAGGGGGGTATTAATTTATTTAGAAAGCCTTTGTCTGCAATCAGATTGGTTATAGTACAACACTGTCCCCCTTTAAAGTTCGAATGATGTTCAGAGGAGTCAAAAGGAGATTTTTCGTCTTGAAAATACTTTACCAGCTGTCATACATGGTTATTGTAGCATCATGATGTTATTTTAACCACAAAGTGAATTTCTAGTTTTAAAACTTGTTATACATTCAGATCAAAACAAAAGGAAATCATGTACACACTCACTGATGGAGACATATCCACTTTACATCACAAAATTAAAATACCCAGCCATTGTGTCATTGTAATATACAATACAGTAACCTGATGAGGTTTTACCCTCAAATCACGGGGTGTTTAACCCTCTTCTTGTTACTCCTCAGGTCGACATGTTACAGAAGTTTCCCGCAGCTGACGTGGGGCCCTCTAAGGAGCTCCAAGCTGTCCGGTATGTTCACTACAAAGTAATTGTTCAATAAATTGACACTTTTATGATATTTTACACCATATGTTAACACCTGTCCCTCAGTTTCATCTGCAGCGATGCGTGCATATCCCTACAAATGGTGTGTTAAAACATTCTTTCCATGTTCCTGATTTTTTTTCTTCCATCAAGCGCAGATTTTCTGTCTAAGAAAATAATAATATGATGATGTATTTCATTTGTTTTGGCCCTTACAGGACAGATGAATGTATTTAGAGTGTGGTCTCAAACAGGGAAGAATGGGAGAAAATGTTCTTATGTGTCGATGCTTAATTTGATAAAAATGCTTCTATTCAAGCTGATGGTCGCCTAGGGAGCAGTATTATAATAATCCAGAATTAGATGTTCAGTTAAGTTTAATATTCTCAGCCTCGCGAAGCTGAAATAAAGTGGCCAACATCTCCAAATCTGAAAATTATATTGAAAAATGTGCAATTTTTTTCTTTAATTTTTTTATTTTCTTATCTTCAGTGTGCTTTATTGTAATAGACCAAAACAATGTAGAACAGTATAGTGAAGTGGGACTAAAATACATTGTTTTATTTTTTTCCTTTTAATACCACCCTAAGTGTGTAGAGAGCATTAGTGTTGAGCACCAGAGTAGGTTATTTCAACACATTTTTTACAGACTCTGTACATCTGCCAAAAATTTCACATGCATAATAAATTCTGACACAAGCAGTTTTATCTAAAACACAATTACTCAATTGCTTCTCTCCTAGTTGCTTATGAATCTGTTTCTTTGCTCTCAGATCTCTGATATAAGATGGAGCTTGGCCATTTAAGGCTTTATATGTGAGAAGGAGGATTTTATATTCTATTCTTGATTTAACAGGAAGCCAATGAAGAGAGGCCAGGATAGGAGAGATATGATCTCTCTTTTTCATTTTCATCAGAACTCTGGCTGCAGCATTTTGGATCAGCTGAAGGCTTTTGACTAGAGTTTTGGTCTTCCTGATAGTAAAGAATTACGATAGTCCACCCTTGAAGTAACAAAGGCATGGACTAGTTTCTCAGCATCACCCCTGATATTTCAAATTTTTTGCAATATTACGGAGATTAAAGAGATTCTAGAAACATCCATCCATCCATCCATCCATCCATCCATCCATCCATCCATCCATCCATCCATCCATCCATCCATCCATCCATCCATCCATCCAGCTTTATCCCAGCTGGGGTTGCGAGTGGTGCTGGTGCAGCTCCAGCTGTCTATGGGCGAAAGGCAGGGTAAACCTGGACAGGTTGCCAGTCCATCGCAGGGCAACACAGAGACAAACAACCATTCATCCACGCAATCACAAGGAGAATTTAGAGAAGCCAGTTAACTTTTGGACTGTGGGAGGAAGCCAGAGAACCCACGCATGCAAAGAGAGAACATCCAACTCCATGCAGAAAGACCTCAGGCAGGGAATCTAACCTGGAACCTTCTTGCTGTAATGGAGCAGTGCTACCCACTGCACCACTGAGCAGCCCTACAAACCTTTTTTATTAATTAATGGATTTAAATGGGAAGTCCTGATCAAAACACTAACAAAACAAAGAAAACATAACACAAAGGTTTTTTAGTCAGATGCAGCCTCACCTTCTAGGGAAAACCAATTATACTGTATTTAGAGGGGTGCCGATTATATTATTTTTAATAGAATTAAACCTTATTTATAAAGAATCCCAGAAAAAGGCAGGGGGAATAGACAGTTCAACACAGCTACACTCTGAAAACAGACTGGAAAATACAAATTAAAAATTGGTTGAATTTTACAGAAATGGTTGGTAGTTATGTGTCCAACGAATTCTTTGGTCTAATTTGGTAGTGTTTTTAAATAATGGATATCGGTAAAACGGCAGACCAATAGAAATTAGTCACTTTACCCAAAATATTGGTTAAGTAGTATAGTAGCCACTTTGACAGCCAAGGCTGGGGCTTGAACCAGCAATCCTTCGAATGAAAACAGCTTAAGCTTTTTCAGGTTACAGAGAGAGCATCAACAAATGTCAATATCTTTTATTAGTTAGATTTAGATCCAGGTTTTGACCCGGTCAAACTGGCTAATGGATGTAAACCATTCCCTTGTAGCTTTGATGAAGGCTTATGGCTGGTCTCATGTTGAAAGGTCAACTTCCACTTTCATCTCAAGTCTTTTCCATCCTCTATTAAATTTCCTTCCAGGATTTCCCTGTATTTATCTCCACCCATCCATAACCACCTAATTTAGAGATTAAATTAAGAAATCGGAGATCTTGCTGCATGAAAAACATCCTGACACAGTCGGATATAAAGAACAGCTTAGTTCTCCATCCTGTCTGTTTTGCTGTAAATGTTCTTTGTTTGCAGACTGGGAAATGCCAAGCTAAAACAGAAGCTGAATGAAGATCCTGCACAGGACAGTGAAGCTTGTCCAGAACCCGGTGAGTCTTTCTAGGTCCCCCTGCTAATGCTCTACAAACCCAACATTTCATGATTAGATTACTTTAACCATGATCTGACTAGAAGTGATTTTTTTTTTTTTTACTTACAGCTAAGTTTTTAATCTGTTAAAGCCTCTACAAGGGGTGTGTACACAGTGATGTTGGTCGCCTTCTCTGATCTCAAAAACGTTTGCCTTAGATAGAGCAGGACTTTCTTTAGGCCTGTTTAGTTCTTCCAGACCAAACTCACTCCATGCACTGACTGGCAAGGAGCCATGTTCAAGAATGGGGCCATCCCCAGAATGGTCACGTAGAGTCAGGAGCATCACATCGTTTTTGTATCCTGCAGTATTAAGAGTGGTAGTAAGGGCCAAAACAGGAAGAAGGAAAATGGGAAATGGAAGAATAAACAAGTAAGGAAAGAAAAAAGAAAAGGAAGGGAGATGGGAATAATGAAAAAAGTAAAGGAAAAGGGAAGAAATGTTCTGAACTGAACTGATCTCATAGCAACATGATGTTTGGATGCATATACACTGCAAAAAGTAAAGTAAAAGGAACATTTTGCTTTGTGTATTTGAAATAGATTTAAATAGAATAATCAGCTAATGGTATACAATTTTTGTACCCATGATAAGAACATTCATATTATCTTACTTTAGGTGCAGTATTTATAATCATGTCGTTTTTTTGGAGCAAAATACTCATTCCACTGGCAGAGAAATGTACTCACCTGCTCAAATGATTGAAAAATTATGAACTATTAAGGCTATACTAAGATTTTTTATTGAATCAGTAAAAAAGTCATAATAATATGAGACAAAAAAGTTTTAACTAGACGAATGTTTAGTCAGAAATATCTGACTCAATTATTTCAGCTAACAGTAATATTACTTAAGCCGGGTATACACCATACGATTTTTTTCTCCCTTTTCTGGCCGATTCGAATTTTTCGATCGGGCCGACTTTCAGCCTGATCATGCGTTGTGTTGTGTACTGGGGGTAACAATGGGTGATCACCCTCTCACAATCGCCTCCCAATCAGGAATTGTAAGGTCGGGACAAAATTAAACGCGTTTGAAATTCAGTCAATCATCCTAAGGTCGCATCAGGCCACACAGTGTAAGAACATGCATCATGAGCCGTGAACTTTTAAACCGAGCAGTTTTATGTATAGTTTGAGCTGTAGCTGCATACAACAATTGAAAATATCACAAGGTGTATGCCCGGCTTTAAAGGGATCTATGATTTATGTTGGCCTTAACAAATGTTCCTATTGGCATAAAAATGTTGTTTGTGTAACGCAAGACTTCATAATTAGTTCAGAAATGTGATGTTTCTTTCACTCGTAGAGGTTGCAATTTTTTCAGCTGCACAATGCATGCTGGGTTGATGTCGCGGCCTTCAGGTATCTTTTTATCATTTTCACTGGTGTAAATTTAGAAAATAGCACTCTGTTGCTGCCTTTTCATCAGACATTATGAAAGAGATATCTGTTAAAACAAATACCTGAACGGCTGGTGATATATATTGTTTAGTATATTAGAGCTAATATCATTAGCAGAAGCTAACATGAAATTAAAATTGAATTGGAAGATAATAAATGACTGTTTCAGTCGTAATGCGTGTTCACATTAAACGCATTTTAAGCATTAATAAGTCAATAAATTTGACACTTGAGGGTATGCAATACTGTTCTGTTCTTTCTTTGCAATCTAGAGTATAGAATTTTTAGCTTTAATGAGTTAGAATAAAGGTAGTTTTAAACATTTTTAAGTGAGAAAGTTTACCTCAAAACGTCATCAGTTCATCAGGGTTTTGGTCCTACTAAAACGTTCAGGTTCAGAGCGGCAGAGCTCGGTATATCGGGGGGCAACAGTGCTGGGAGTCCCCAGTGAGAGCTCCCTATAGTGAGCCAGGCTTCCAGGGATTTCCTGTTGCTGTCGGTAGCGGCTTAAAGGGAATGCAAAGCATTTTTTCTTTATTTATGATAAAAAGTGCAAGTACCAGAATAAAAAAAAGATCAAATATTTTTCATTGACTAGTGACTATTGTAGTAATAGTTATCACGTACCCCCCTGTGCATTCAATATCCATTATCCTGGGTTTTCATCCCCTTTATATTTATTCATTCCTTAGATGCTGACAGCTCTGCAGAAGTGCTCATAGCTGCATGTAGTGTCTTTCTTTCAGAAAACTCCTGTGTCAACTTTTTTGATTGGTTTACGCTCAGCCTCAAGCTGCTAAAGTTGCGATTTCTTTATTCCAGCGTTGGACGCCTCAACCAACACAGGACCTCTCCACACTGCTTGATGCCGTCCAACATAGACTTTGCCAGAAATCAGATGCTTTGTCCCCCAGGTCACTTTTGATGTGAATGCACCATAACACTTCACTGATGTATCTGAGAAAATGTTTTTATCTCAATGCTAACCGTAAACAGCCACAGTTAGAAACTGGAGCTTGTAGCACAGTGCTTAATCTCGGCTAGCCACACAAACACCAGCTTCTTCAGACCACTCTCCATTCTTCCTCCATGTGGTCCTCCTCATCTTCATCACCTCTTGTCATTTCGACATTGTCGTTAAATTCAACATGCTCCAGTTCAAACTGAAAAGGTTTAATGTTACTCATTGCTGTGTTTGCTGTATGGAGCTAGCGCTACAGGACCTAGCATATGTTATTAAACCAGAACACTTTGCCGCGTAAACAAAATGACAGCATCCTTGTAACAATATTTGATTTAAATTTATTAAACTTAAATAGCTTGCAGTATTTTTGCTGTATTATATTTAAATAAAAACCTAAAAAAAAGCACTCTATGAGCGCAGACCTCCACCAAGCTGCAAAATTTACCCCATATTGTGACTTAGATCTATAGCTAAACTCACACATGATCTGGCTCATTACCAAATATGTTTATTTTTTTGTTTATTTTTATTTTAATTACCAAATTTGAATGAATTGTTCCTTGACATGAGGTGCACCTTTGGTAAATATTTCCTTTAAATCCTTTTGTAAGTTCATAAATAAGGCACAGCGTGTGTCTGAAGCCTCTGGTGTTTGTTCTGCTCTCATTCGTTCACTATGCTTTCTTATTTGATCAGCAGATCATGACATGGCATCAGACATGGCTCACCTTTCCCGTGTATTTTGTCTTCAGTATTATACTTCTGGACTTTTTTTATTCTGATGCTAAAAAGCTGTCTATAGTCACTGCTGCCACCCTCTGTTTAAGTGGGGAACTGCTTGTTCCATCAAATAATGTTAAAAAAATCATTTTAACTAATTCCTGCATCCAGATTTTGTGAGGTGCACCTTTGGTAAAAATTTCTTAAAATATATTCATAACTTATGCTGTACACAGGCGGACGACAAACACACAAATTTGACCAAAAACATGATCTCATTGGTGGAGGTAATAAATATTTCTAAAATAAAGTGTTTTGTTACAACTTGCTGTGGATTCCTTTAATGTCAATGTTACGATTTTAGTCTCTAATTAAAAAAAAAATGAGTATGGCTCTAATACACCATTGTATCGAATAGACTTACTCCCAAGAAATGTTATGCAATGTCTTATTTTCCAAACATTTTTTTTCCAGTGTATTTGGGTTCTTTGCCCACTGAGCCTCTCAGCATCTGCTCACCCTCATTTATTCACTTTGATCTAAAATGTCATCAGTCCACACACCTCGTTAGTGGTATCTGTCGCCATGATTGAAATGTGGGATTTAATAATTTAAAGGGGTAACCCAGTATATATCAGGCTACATAGCGTACGTAGATGAGAACATAACTGATGTTGGATGTTGTCTTCAAAAGGTTCTGGGAACCTGAAAAGGCTACTTCAAGCAGCTGAAAGCGAGAAATCTCAACTTCAAGCCGAGCTGAGAAGGCTACGGAAAGAGCTCAAGAACTTCGACCCAAACTTTTTTGAGGAGCTGGAGGACTTGAAGTACAACTACAACTTAGAGCTGAAAAAGAATGTTCTGCTGGAGGAGCAGCTGAGGAAGGTGTGCGATCGGTTTGGGGTGGAGGCTGAAATGCCCAGCGTTTCCATCAGTTAACTCAGGGTCTTTGTGCCTTTTTGTTATGTTTATGTGATGCAATCAGGCAGGTATGAACTAATACAATTCTGGTCTGTATTTCTAGATTACTAAGTATATATTATTAGCAAAACAGCACTTTTTCTATTTTTACAGTTTTTTTCAAACCTGGTTCATTTTTATAAAGCTGTAGTTTTGTTGACCTTGATTTGTGAGATTTTTTTTTCTGTATTAGTCAATAAAAAATACTTTAACTGGTTGGAATTGTCTTGAATTTATTCTTCAGAGAACATTTTATTTTATTTACAGTATGTACAGGAACAATTAAGTTTCACATTCCAGCTGTGCCTTTGTAAACCGTCCTCACAATTAAATCTACTTGGTGTCATTTATTAGAATGATGCTTCTTCCTCCTACTAAAACCTTTTTAAATTAAGACTTCCTTTTAATTTAGTTTCTCATCAAGAAGGTTGAGGATGGTTTGTACGTTCAGGATGCTTTAACCTGCAGCAAAAACAATTTACACCTCATACTGAACGTCCTGAAGCCGACTGAAGCTGCGTCCGTTCAGTGACAATAATGACGCCAACAAGCCTTTGCTATTGTAGGCATCAACCGTTCCTTCGAGGCGTATGGTCACGGGCCGGTTGGCGAGGCCGCTTTCACCATCTGGCCACCTCAGTCCCAGGTGGTGGCGGTGAATCTGCCAACATAAGCACACGCTTTTGCTACCAAAGGTATGAAACATGATAAACGACATTAAATAAACCTAGAAGAACAACAGCTGCTATTTCTTTATGACAGCTACCTTAACCAGTGTGCCATTGTTGCAGTGCCACACGATGCCTTCCACCTGACCGTCTGAGCTCTCCTGGAACCAGGAGCAGAGCTGCTGGAAGTCCACAGGTGGGGGGTTCCTGATCAGAATACAGCCATGCGGAACCAGGCAGTGGACGGGCTGCTTCTTACTTCCCAGTCCTGTACAGAGAAAAAAACTCATCTATAGATGAAAGCTGTGATGATGAGGGAAGAAAAATGAAATTAACCTTTTAAATATCTGCATCTCCACAGAGCAGCCTTAGCTCAGGTGCACTGATCAGGTCGCTGCCCTAATAAAGACACCAATGACTGCATAGATTCACAACATTTATCATAACCTTTGGCTTGATAGTACGGTTTTGAAAAACAAAAATAATGCTAGAAATTGTCAAGTTATTGATTTTATTTCAATTCAATTATTTCAATCAAAAAAAACTTCTTTAAAATTCATATACACGACAATAGACACTCCTAAAACAATGAATCTTGAATGAAAAGATTTGTTTCCAGTTCTATGGAGTGTTAAAAGAGACTAAACTACATACAAGATTTAAAAAATGAATGTAACATAAAATCTACCATTAAATAATTCAATGTACCATATATTTTGTACATCATTAAAGTATAAAATTTCATTTTAGAATTGAGTTGTTTAAACCTACAATTACTTATTTCTAGCAGAGTTGGGTTAAAACTATCAACTTGATCATTTAAAACTGTCAACATGGCCCATCAAACTTAGTGGGTGGGATTAAAGCGTCTCCTATAGAAGCCCTGACATCTGATTGGCTGCTTCACACAGAGCAACACCACTACTCACCAGTTTGCCAAAACCCTGAGCTCAGTATTTTGCTAAAAATAACTTAAATAACATTTTGCAATTTATTTACAAATTCTTGAGAGCTTAAGCTAGTGTTAATCAGTGGGCGGGACAACGATTGAATCGATGTTATGTAGGGATGTCAGTTATTAATAAAGTTGACTGAACTTCTTGATCATTTATAAAACATTTTTTTAAAATTTGCTCCCATATCAAGAAGACCTTACCATTCACATAAGAGCCCAAATTATTAGGGATGCACGATATAATCGGCCCCCTATCGGTATCGGCCTTAAAACGGAATATCGGACATCGGCCA